ATATATATATGTATTTTGTGTATAAAAACAGTACTAATTCTTAAGCTCTCAGTTTGAGTCATCAGAGCAAACTTTGACTGTAGTCTCCCAGAGAGTTTAGTTGTACAGGGTGGGCAAAAAAATCTGGTCACCCACCTGAAATAAAGATAATGTACATGAAAGAAATAATTTATTGCATATTGACACAGACTAACAAAAGGTTTGATTAATAATCCAAAATGTCTGTCTGTTGGCCTTCATTGTCATGATAAAGGATGATACGTTTCTTCTTGCATTGTGCCATCCAACTTAGCATATTAGAGATGACCTTAGCAAAACATTCAGCATGTTTTTGTTTCAAAGTGTCAGTTATTTCATATCGTTCCTTTGCCATAATCTGTTTGATAAAGCTCTTACTGAATTATCAGATAAGCTTTAAATAAGGGCAGGCCCAGACTCTTAGCCCACCCTGTACAGTCATCAAGTAAGTACTTACAGGTGGGTGAACCAGGAAAGTCTCAAAAGACCAAATGGTCTCTTGTTGTCTGTAGTTTGTTATAAATGTGTACATCTCTGATTAGTACTGTGCCAATATAACATATGGAGAACAAGGTAACATTTGGTCCTTCAGAAACAAATGATGTCTGTTTTAAGTTCTTAGAAGGTGCTGGCCCCCACTACTTCTGACAGCAACTGATTCCATAAGTTAATAACCCTAATAGGAAAATAAAACTGTCTCAATAAGATCATAGCCAGTCTTTCTTTGAAATCTTAAAATTGTGTCCTATCATCTTATTCTTTTCAGAATTCAATACAAGAAATCAGAGGGCTTTAACTTATCAATGCCCTGGATAACCTTGCAAACTTTAATATCATTAGAAAATAAGAGACCTTAACCTGTCCCCATAGGGTAACCCTCCATTCTTAGTATCATCAGGGCATACCTCTGAAACTTTCTAATAAGTCAATATTATTTCTTAGATAAGGATTTCGAAATTGTACATATTATTCAAGTGAGGCCTAACAAGTGATTGTAAAAAATTAATTACCTCTTTCAATTTGTAATCAATATGCACATAAATAAATCCTAACATTCTATTAGCTTTATTATTAACAGGAGAGCACTGCTTCAAAAGTTCAATGGCTTAAGTACCTTGTTTACAACAATGTCAAGATCTTTTTATTAAGGCATTTACTAGAACAATGTAGTAATTCTAATTATTGGATGTTCCCAAGGATAAATTTAGTAACTGCTGGTGAATGAGAGCAACACCACACTGAAGGACAACCATGGCTGTAACTAGCTATGAGGACACTGAGGTCATATCAACAGTTGTGCCTTTTAGCTTTCTTCAGTAACCCTCTCTCTCTCTCACACACACACACACAATTGGAAATTATAGGTTGAAACCCAAGTTTGATTTCAGTAGAATATTGGCTCTGGTTACTGTGCAGAGCAAACCACTTTCATTATAATGGAAGTCAACAGTAATTTTGGAAAACAACCAAATTTGAGAACAAATTTATACAAAAAAAAAAAAAAAGAAAAGAGAGAACCTCGTGGTACCTAAATTTCTATTTTCAAGGGTGAGAAACTGTTTGGTGTACATGGTTGTCTACTGCAAAAGTCAAAAACATTATGGGGTGGGGGTTTTATTCTTAAAATGCCTTTTTAGCCATAGAAGTAATGGCTAACTCATACAAGTGCATTTATTTGATATGTATTTTCAGCTTGTGTTCTATAAAATGCTCTATAAGCAGGTCAAACAAATAGACAGGTGACAAAAAATAATTATGGTCAATACAATAATGCTGAAAGAACAACAGGGTTCTTTATCATTCATTACTAGTTGCAAAGACCTTACTATAGAAACTTACTGGTTCTTATAGTTTACATGTTAATATTAGTAAAATAGGTCCTGATAAGTTCACTGAAAGGTCTTAATGTGAAAATAAATTATCATTAAGCTAATGAAGAAAAACTAGCAAATAAACCGATAGATTTTATGTCAGTCATTATTCATTTGATTTAAAGTATTCTACTTGAGTTGCAGGTGTTCAACTTCTAACACAATCCTTTTAATCAAAATAAGACTAAAACTGAAGTCTGAATATAACATTTCTATTACACCATTAGCATTAAAAGTGTTGGTATAAAGTTGTAGCTCAGAAACAAAAATTGCTATGTTACAAGTTTATATGCATATTCCATATCAGATTTATATTCTTATTTGTGTTACCTTTAGTTAAACTTCCCTGTGATAACATTCTGATCCAAAAATAAGAAAATAATTATAAGTATTTTACATATCTTTTTATATAATAGATGAGCTGGTCGAACATGAGACAATTTGTTTTTCTTACAGATTTTTTCCCTTTATTTTAATATAAAATGTGACCCATAATTCATTTTATGTAACATTATCAGAGCACCATGAAAATTGGAGGGTGATATACAAAGAGAAAATGTCTATGATAAACACTGTGATACACTGTCTTGTTATCAAAGGGTTGTTCAGGTATAAAAAGGTTGGATGCCAACACTTTTCAGTGCTCACAGTAAATATAACCGTGTTGAGAATTTCAAAGTTTACAAGTTACAGCAACTTTTCTTAAATTCTTTATAATTATTATATATATGCATACCTTCCTCAATCTACATACAGCTCATTTTTCATCTTTCTCAGTTGAATAGAAGGATTTTGACATAGAGGTAGATAAGTTAATCAAGTCATTGAGGCAATGTTCTGTTGCTATTATTAGTAGTAGTGTGGACATCAGCTACGTAATGGGATATTTGTGTTTTGCCCACTACAAATATCAAAACCCAGATTTTAACATAATATTAATAAGCCTTCATTTAAAACTCAAAGAATCTACAGCATTTTTTTCTTATTATGTTATTATTATAACTAGATTAAAAATATAATGAAGAGAGACTGAAAATTGAAGTTGGACAAGTCTGGCAGTCACCACTAAACTTCTTAAAATAAAAAAAAATTTTTATACTAGTTTACTACGGGTAGTTACAAAAACAACCGGTAAAAATCTAAGACTAAGTTACTAAGACAGTGAATGATAAATATGGCACGAACTTAACTGAAGAACCTGCACTTTAATCCTAAATTTCTAAATCATCAATAGATAGGACTTTGAATTCAAGAATTGTGTAACCACACGCATACGATCAGTGGAAAGGTTCACCTAGTGTTTCATTTGAAAACAACCATAAAGGCTATGATAAATGGAAAAAAGGCAATCATTTAAATATAAAAGTAAAAATTATCAAGAATCATATCAATAAAAATAAAATAAATCAGTACATCCAAATG